GTGGGATGAAGACGGGCGACACCGACGGGCGGGCGGTCCCTTGACGCGGGGGTGCCGCCGCCGCGGCCGAGGATTTGCACAAGGGCCCCGGGAGGTGCATGGGATGACTTCATACGGATACGGGGGCTGGATTTAGGTTTTACGGGGTTTTGGTTTTTCGGTGGACGGACGGGGTTGACCGAACTTTTCATGGGCGGTCATAATGATCGGTCGGTGTATAGATAGATGAATGTTTCCTCCGTCAGACTTCTGGGTGCAGACCTATCGCACTTTCAACGGTTCAGTTTGAATTGAGATGAACCTGAAATTGTCGAGGCCTTAGACGTCTTGATGCTTTATCAAGGAGTTGAACCATGATCGGAGATAGGGTGTTGGCTTCGCTCGTACATCAATAGCTTATTCCCAGAAGCTTCTACAGATCGAGACTCGCTCAGAGGCTGGCATAGTCCTGATTCTTCTGTATGATGTAAGTGATGTATGTGACGATCGAGAGATGGGCCACGAGAGCTCCGCGGAAATTCCGACTTACCAATGATCAAGACGGGAACTATGATGGCACCTTTAGTTTTCCGACGTGCAAAGGGTTTCTTCTAGAAGCCTTCTTTCCGAGTCAGTCTTTGCCGAACTGGGGCTCCGGCCGGCATAGCGTACACATTTAAGATTGGCCCCGGCTTTTTTTGATATACGGATAGATACGACGGGATTGATAGGAGAGGGTCCGACTGTTCCTCATTCGAGTGTCCGTACTCCATATCCGATAAGGAGAGCCAAGTTTTTTTCTTTCCTCCCCATCATTCCCTCCCGTCTCTTCTCATCCAACTTCCCCAAGGAACGGGGAAGGAAATGGGATGAATAGGGGGCAACGCTGGAGATTGTACAAAGATTTTGAACCGTGTTGGAGTCGGAGGAGATGTGTGATGTATGGAGTACGTCACTCTTACACTCTGGTCTAGCCCAAAGACAAGCCTCGATCCAGTGGTTTCGTAACAGCGTTGGTCACAGTACACCATTATTGATGCTGAAAGGGACGAATTTGGCACAATGTTATCTGGTCTCAGTATCGTTCAATGCATTATGATCTGGGGACCATTGGTCACTCTCATCAACTGCCACCGGGGAACACAAAGCTGTAGAAATACACAAGCACAATGTACCGTTCTCATACAACATACTCACCAGGTTCCCTTCCACAGGCTGGACTATTCGCAGGGGTAAAGTGACCTCCAGCGCTTGGTCCTTCCCTTATCGGCCGGGTTCCTTGGGTGCGGCTACGCGCGCTCTCTCTCTCTCTCTCTGTCTCTCTCTCATCTGGCTTGACCCCTGACCAGCCCACACCACCCGTCACCCGTCCGAGATCCGATGAACGGTCCATAGAAGTTGGAAACTTTCCCTTACGGAGTACCTACATCGCCAACTAGGCTACTGCTGCAGGTTCTTACACTAAAGCAGAGATCCTCGACATGCATCGAAAAGACTAATGGCTTCTAGAAGGGCACAACACGCTCTCCGAGATGCCGCCGGTAACCGTCCATTAACCCCACGTGGGAGCGCAGGTTTATTACGTAGACATTGTCTAAGGGGGCCCTTGCCCATGAAGAGAGAGGGTAGTGCTTGTATCCGTACTTCGTACTCCGTATCAGTGCCTTGATCTTGAGGTTCTCAGGGAGCTTTTTTTCGTTATCACAGAGTCCGGGAATGAAGTTCCAGGAGCGAAACATCAGCACGGGGCAATTTCGCAGATGGCATAGATAAGGGATTTCGAAAAGCTCCCCTCTTCTCGTCCGGAGATAGATTCCACTGATTACAGAACATGGGCCCTTCCATCAATTTGCAGCATCTCATGTTGAAGCTGCGGGAATGGGCCAATTCTCTCGTGGACTGCAGCAACAAAACCCGCTTTGCCTTGTTCGAGCTCTTCCCTTGCCCACACATTGCCCTGCTTGTACTACGGCTCCCCGTTCCCCTGTTCTTTACCCCCTGAGCCCAGCAGGCAGCTCCGGCAGTGGGAAGGGGATACATCATATTACCGAGACCCCCCACGACCCATCATGCAGCATAAAACTCTTCTCGGCGGGAAGTCTGGAGGACATGTACCTGATGACGCCCCATAACGTCTTTCTTAGTGATGGGGCTTGGTGATCTAACGGTTCCCGATGTACTCCATCTGCTGCGCGGAGGAGCACATCTTACCTGCTGCCGTGGAGGAACACCAAATACAGGCTGTTTCCATGGAAGCTTCGCGGCCAAGTGCTGTGAAAAGGGACAGATGGCCTAGATGCTACCTCTCGAATCCTGCCGTGGTATATCTCTCGTCGCCCCGGACTAAAGCACACCGCGCAAGTTACAAATGAGAGCCTGGGAGTCTGGCAGCAGGATCCGGCAGCATGATACATTGTTCCGTTCGGGGGAGACACATAGTCTCGGGGCGAAGGACCGCTCGCTACCGTCAAGCCGTGCTACCTCACAAGCAGCGCCTTGGTGGAGAGCGACAACTCATATCATTGCCATACCGTATTCATTGGTCTTCCTATATTGTAATGATTAAATGAGACACCGGTTTGGCCAGTCTGAGATATAATCAAAGCTACTACGTTCACAATGACCGTGAGATTGGCAAGAGAGCTCAGTAGTGGCCCCTTCAGACACTTGCATGATACATCAGAGCCCCTTGAAGGCATACTAGCCTCCATTACAGCGTCACTCTCTCATTTGAAACCATCTCATCGGCGTGGAACTATTCCCCAGGCCCGTCCCTAGCTCCCGATCACTCAACGGCACGTAGTGACGCCCACCGCTACGGTGTTTCCCGATACCCCTTATCCGGGGGATCTGACCGCAACTCCTTATCACGGTCCAGCTTGGGCTCATCAGTTCTACTTCTTCCAGGAGGAGCGCAAGGAGGGTTCTACGAGTATAGCTGTAAGGTAGGACTTCTGTAGGTTCGCTGAAACAAGGTAGGTCATTCAATCAGTGTTTTCTTCACCATCGCCCATCGACAGCTCGGTCCACGCTTGTTCTACGATTCTCAACCTTGAATTAGTTATTTAAGCACTCTTCAAAGGTTATTTGACGGTTCTCCTCATCATTTCTGAGTCTTGGCATGAGTTGGTTTCGTAGCCCCTGTTCAATGACTTGGAGTGACTAGAAGTGCCCGCCCGCCTAGCCATTTCACCTCTGTTTCGTACAATCCACTCCATCCAGGCTCTAATTTTGAATTTCCAAAAGACAAATTAAGGTCGTTAACTCACAGCTAAACAACATATGGATAACCCAATTGCACCTGTGTTGATATCTTACGATCGCTGCCAGGGCAAGCCGAACGCAGGTCGTACGTAGTCAGCTCCGCAAACGTGGTCCTTTGGTCGCTACTGTGCAGAATGCGAGACTTTTTTCCATTGCTACATGGCAATGAAGTTTTACATGAAGGGGTCTAACCGACGCCTGCATTCGTCCCAAATCTCACCTCCGATCAACGCGAGGCATCTACACGGAGGCAGGCACAAAGCTACTACCACTTCCACTCCAACATACTGTAGAAGAGCAATTATGTATTTGAGGGGGGGGCAATGGATCGATGGCTGTTCTTAGTCTTGAGATTATAGGGTGTCGACAGCCAGCTCAACCTGGAGAGGGGAGCGTTGCTCGCACTTTCTGGCTAGCAATACTCACGAGTATCACTCGCAGAGGCTTTCAGCGAGATTTGATAGACGGCCCCTCCAATACATGAGGTGAGTGCGTGTTTTCAGGCGTGTATGGGAGCGGGTGGTGAACAGGGCTTGGCCTGGACAGAGATTTTCTTTCCTTATCAGCTTGCTCGACTCAAGCTTTAGATTGCCCCTGATAAGCCGAGTCCCGCAGAAGAATGCGGCCGCATGCTACGGATACGCAGTATGAATACACAACTAACATTAGCTCACATTTAAAATAATTAGAGAATGTTGTCAAGAATGTACTTGAGCCGGAGCCATCAGGATTTAATAGTAGCCAAGGGCTCAAGAGGTCGGTGGAAGGAGGCTGAGGCAGTGTCCGAAATTCGTTCAGTGAAGTGAAGTGAGCTCTTCGCACTTTATTGCATTCTTGTTAGCTGTGGTTTGTGATTGCTCAAAGAAATATCAGCCCAGTGCTTTTTTGACATATTTACACCTATTCTTTCTGTTTAGATCTCTGAGCGTATTTGTCAACGATCGTATCCGAAGAAGCCTAGCAAGCAAGATAAGTGACAGAGGCAGTGAGGATAAGAGACTTCCGGGCCGGCGTGTTATCTTGTTACCCGCTCGATGGTCACTAGAGACGTAAGGTAGCTTCACAGTCAGTAATCAATCGCTCTTAGGACCTTGTCCCCTGAATGTGACAAGCAGAGTCGGACGTCCTAAACCAAGACGCCAAGCCAGTGGGGAGGATATTCAACTCATAATTGACAGGCGAAGTCTGTGCTATGTGGGATCCTTTCACTCAGATCGCCTTGGCCAGGGTGACCTCTCTTCTCAACTCCAACACTACGCTTCAGTCTGGACCAGTTCTGGGAGTTGACGAATACATTCTTGGATCAGTCCACGTCACTTTTCGGATGTCTGAGTCCCGCAAGCTGGAGCTGGGGTAGAACATTGGCACACGGAACGAGTGGATGCTAGTACTCCAAAATTCTAGGTCAATTTTAATCTTGATTGATTGTTCATCGCAATTGCAGAGCAGAATTGTATCTAACCAAATTGTAAAAGCGTTTCTCCCATGTAGCGCTACGTAGAGTCTCATTACAATAACTTAAGTCAGAAGACTACCATGTGTACAGTGCTGGACTTGCACAGATACGAGATTGAATATGATGCTGGCTTTGTGTGAATGAGGTGCCCATCCGGTCCCCTCATGCCTTGGATCGTGGCAACGGCAACAGAGCCACTTTCAAAATCATGTTCGGTGTAGTCTAACATTGGAAAATACAACCAACTCCAGTCGTCAATTGTGATTGGAGTCCTTGGAGTCATAGTTGAACAAGCCAAGTCTCAGTTCGTCTTTCCACTTTTATCCATCCGTGACATCTCAGTAGCAGCAGCATTCTGCCCAACACGACCTTCAGGCAACTCATTCATCGCATCTTCCTCCTTATCCAAATCCCTGAACTGGAACCAGAAAATAACACCCGCAACGCCAGCCAGCACGGCCACGATGCCATAGTTCCACACCAGGTACGGGTCGGTGCTCAACGGCGTGAAAGCCTGTCCCAGCGCCGCCGAGATGGCCGACATGAAGAGCGCCACGGCCTGGACCATGGAACGCATGTTCTTGGGCGCCTTGCTGAAGGCGTACTCAAGGCTCGTAATGCTGGCAAAGATCTCGGACAGGGCTATGAGCACGTAGGCCCCCGTCTGGGCCCAGACGAGGATATCTACCGGCGGACAAGGATCGCCGTTGGGTAAGGTGCCCGAGGCGAATTGGCCACAGGCGGAGCGCTTGTAGATGTAGTACTGTAGTACACAAGCCCAGACCATGGCCATAGCACCAGTGAAGAAGCCGAAGGCGATCTTCTTGATGGGCGTGAAAGGAATCCTCAGCTTGCGGAGAGTTGGGTACAGGACGAGGTCGCAGAGCGGGATGAAGAGGATGAGGGCTATGGGGTCGAGGTTAGAGAGGATGTCGTTAGGGAGGCCGTTGAGCTGCATCGTGGCGGCTTGGGAGACTAAGTTGTTATTCACTTTGGGGGGTTAGATGGGTGACAACATAAGAATAGAGGGTCGGCGAAGTCGGTGACCTACATTGGTTGTAAGAGAGCCAGTATATGGGATACCATGAGAAGACGGCACAAGCTGCGAAGCCACGACGCCTATAGGGGTCAGTATATCAACCAGATGTGCCAAGACAATACTCACAGCTCCTCGACCCAGGCGTCGTCAAAGGTCATCCACTTTGGCCGAGTCGCATCAGAGAAGTTCGAAGGCTTGACCCTCTCCCAAAAGGTCCCATCGTGCATGTTCCTCCAAGTCTTGACGGGGTTGATCGACCATCTGCCTTTTTGAGCAAAGAGAAACGTCCGCAGAGCAGGTCCCAGAACCGAGCCCGTCGGGGGCTGATCGCGATATCTACCCTTTCCCCACCACATGACTAGGGGGCATAGCGCCAGCATGCAGGTCGGCAATGTGAAGCTCAACCAGAAACCAACGTACTTCTCGGCGTAGACCATGGAGATCTGGCCGACCAGGGCGCCAATGTTGATGAACATATAGAACCAATTGTAAACTCTGTTGATGGTGATGGCGGGATCGACGATGACTTTCTCCCCCGTTGGGAGCGTCCTCACGGTTAAGTGATCGATCTCGAGTTGCTCCGCAATCAATGGACTGACGTTGGGTTTGAATCCTCCTGTGGCAAAGCCGATCGTTCTAGCCAGAATTAGTTTGTCGATGCCCCAGACCAACGATTGCATTTAACACTTACATCATACCAACAAGAAGCGCCGATAGAGAGTTCCCGGCTGGCTTAGTGATTACGGGTGGGATAGCGGCGGAAATGAGGATCAAGTGGCCTACGAGGTCGACAGCGATGGAAATACAGATGGTCTTATATCGGCCCCAGTACTTATCGGCAACCCAGGCGCCAAATAAGGGCATAAAGTACTGCCAGAACTGGTTAAAGGTCGTGATACCTGTTGACGCCTGCTGGCCCATTCCAAGGGCACCAGGTTGGCCATTCGGCGCCGCGCCGGTCGTCGAGCCCGCCGGGAGGGGTTGTTGAATGAAGTTAGTAACTAGACTTGGGTTAGTATTCCTTGAGCCGGTGCGACTTCTACTTAGTGGCCAAACATACACTTCTAATGTTAGTCTCTTCTTTTGGATAACGGAATCGAGTCTACTCACGACGATGACGGAGCCATAATACGAGAAGCGTTCACACAGCTCGACAAAGGCGATGGTGAAGAGCTTGAAGGGAATGTGGTCCGAAACTCTCCTCAGAGTCTGCAAGTCTTCGTCGGTCGGCGCATCTGGTCGCGGCTGGATACCCCTCTTCTCGTCTAGCGATACATCTTCGTAGTACTTCATGTCGTATGAGCCCTCTCTGAGCTGAGACTCAGAGGGGGACTGGTTGATTGTATCACCGGCTGGCATCGTATCCTTCATCCTCACTCTGATGTCAAATCAAAGAATGAAGCCGTGATCACCACAAGAAAGCAGTCGCGCGGCAAGGTAAGAAGACGTTGGGTGGCCTTCCGCATTTATGGTCTTGGCTCTTCCGGTCCGATATGTGAAACACGATCATAGAAGCCGTGAAGGGCACAGGGATGAAGACGGGAAGGGACATTCGCTATCTTGGGGAAAGAAGGGTAAGGATTGGCTCATGATAAGGCAAGAGGCGAACAAGCAGGGATACTCAGGTCAAGATAAAACTGATAAAGAACGGACGGGCTCGTAGCAGATCGTGGGGGAGGGGAGAAGGAAACACCACACTGAGCGGCGGCGGACTTGGGGCGAGCAGGCCTGAGCTCAGGGGGCAAGTGTAAGAGAAGTACAGACGAGATGGAAACCAGATTGGCGGATGTGAACCTTAGCATGCGTCCGTTTTTTGTGTAGGTCTACTGTAGGAAAGATCTTGGTGAGCAGAGTGGTATTATAGTTGGACTAGGAGTCAGTCCGATTGATCGTGAGATTTGTGCGTGGTCTCGTGGTATGCGCTTTTAACGTTGTCTTTACCCCAATATCTACTCTGCAACCCATTTTGGTACACCAATATCCGCTGCCTACCTTGACTATTAGATCGAGTAGACTGAGTTCCTACGGGTAGTCGTAAAGCCTCGAGAAAAAAAGTGGAAATCGATCAATTGAGCGCGTCAATCGCCCGAATGTTTAGGTCTAGCGAAACCGGGCCTTTCTATGTGTCGATGCTTCGTCCACGACAACTACACTATAACTGTTCTGTACCGGCCTGCCAAGAGCCAAGGCAACGCCCGCTCCCCATGCTATTTGATCTTGAATGTGTATTCATTGACTCGCAGTCATGAGGCCTGGTGAGATCGGTTGATTGTTAGACACGGCGAGTTCTATCTGCATCACGTTTCGGATAACGCTGGCGGCAGAACCTTCAACTCCATGGCCCGAGCTCTAAACGCTGTGCCGAAAATTTCAAGAGCCAGAGATTGCGTAGCGCCCCGAATCACTGCCGGCCCATTCGCGGAATGTGGCCGTCGGACGTCCATGGTAAGTGACGATACGGAGCGCATGTCATTACGAGTCAGGGAAAGGGTGCAGCACCCAAGAATGGAAGCTATTGAAAGCCTGCCCACAGGCGACTGGCTTATGCATTCCGCTCAGCATTCGCTGTTTACAAGAAGAGGAAGTCATGATTGACATTTCCCGGGAGACTCCACTAGGCACCGGCGCCGGTGCTTGACTCCGGCTCGGCAGGAACTGGGGCCGTACATGTGGAGTCGACGTTACATCGGCACCCTGATGCGAACGATTCAGGGGCAGAGATCGGAATGCCCGGAGAACGTTTGCTCGGAGAAATTCTTGGCTCCGCGCGCCGCTTGTGTGGCATGCAAGACAAGGGTCTCACGCGCAGCTCCATCCTCACGAATGCGTAGGAGGACAGTCTTTATTGGTTCGCGCATTCAATGCATGTCTCTCACTTGCAAACACGGCATCTCAACCCGCGGCACATTTTGATGTAAGCTTGCGGCGTTCTCTCTTGAAGATAGGCATTGGAATTGTCTTGATGGAAGAAGCGGTCTTGCTGCTCGGTATTATTAAATGTTTATATAAACGTTCGGAACCACCGAATGGAGATATGCAAGAAGAGAGTAGCGAAAACCACTCTATATGCGCTTCGTCACCGGGCCAAAGAAGTTCATCTTTTGAACCATCCCACTTATGCCCGCACCTGAGACCTCTGAGAAGCCTCTCCCAATTCTAGACTTCATCTTCTTCAAAACTTGCCCTTGAGCAGGTTGGCAATCATCTCGCGACCGGTGATACGGGTTGTCGTCCACAGAGTGGGGAAGTCGAGAGTGCTGGACAGGCCGTCGGCGAAGCCAAAGAAGAGCATGGGCGGGATCCAGCCACGGGCGTACTCGAGCGCGAAGCAGCCCTCGTCCATCTTGTACTGCTTGACGTCGCCGCGGTGGAGGTGGTGAACGGTGCCCTGGGGGTAGACCTCGGGCTCGTACTTGCCGGGGACGTAGGCGAGCTGGGTTCCGTAGAGGATGTTGAAGTAGTCGTCGGCGGTATGGCGGCCCGAGTGACCCTCGGTTCCGATGGCGGTGCCGAAGACGATGAGATACTCGGTAATACCTGATGATCCTCTGTTAGTAACTGCAATTCGTTGGTCCCGGGATATCGAATAAGAGGAACTCACTGGCGTGAATGATGTACATGGCACCCATGGCACCGCCGGCGTTGTTGAAGACCCATTCCTCATCGAGGTTGACGCTGGTGGGGTGCATGCCATTGAGCTCGGTCACGATGTAGCTGACGACAGAGCGCGTGTCATTGCCATGAGCGGCGATGGCGCGCTTGGAGAGGTCGTGCAGGTGCTCGTGGTCAAAGATGTAGAACTTTTCCAAGTTCTTCTCGAGGAACATGTAGATGGGGGTCAGGAGACCGATCCACAGCGCCAGTGTAAACAGGCGCCCGAGAGACGGCATTGTGTCTTGCGCGAAAAAGTCTGGTGAAAGACTTCAAGATACCAAAGTGCAAAGAAAAGGGGAAGGAATGTGGCGGTCCAATTGATGGACTTGTGTACGTTGGAGGAAAAAAAACAACAACGGAGAGGACGCACACGGAAATATGTTTTGCGACGGGAGCACCGGCGAGATGGGTTTAAGAAGGCTTCGTTGAGCTCCAGTGCCGTTGTCGCATCGCTTATTGTTTTTGGTTGAGAGATTGGTAGGACCCTGCATTTTGCTCTTTCTGCCATGCGCCACCGCTCCGGAAACTCGAATTGCCAGTGGCCTGACGGAGCTTGACAGTGGGGCTAGCCATGGGTCTTACCTTACTGTTTACCTTAGCTGCAGCTGTCCGGGATGGCGGGGCCGTCGACTGGGCAATTCACTGAAAAAAAATCGGACTTTCGGGTTTTCGACAAGTGCAATCTCAACCACCGAGCAAACGGAACGGACTTTGATACTCCAGCCTCACATACGGAGCCGAGAAAATTTCGCGACTGGGGCCAAACTCACATCGGTTCCTCATTTCTCACCGCTCACTTTCGATTACACTCAACTGTGACAACGGGCACGAAAAAAAAGAGCTCCAACCAAAGCCAACTCTCACACGTCATACATTCACCCCAAAGCTCTCATCATGGCCACGGTTGAGACCCCCCAGACCGCCGTGCCGGGCAAGGTCCTCGGCCCTACGACGCGGTTCGCCGCCGGCCCAGGAACACATGTCTACAATGGAAATGTCGTCGCCTCTCTGCTCGGCGACGTGACCGTCACAGCCTCAGCCAAGGCCCAGGCGGGCCTCACGAAGCGCCTCAACCGCATCACGCCGCTGTCGCCCGAGGAGCTGGCGACCATCTCCGTGGCACGCAAGGGCGCAAGCAAGAAGCGCGAGGTGCTCCCCGACGTGGGCAATATGGTGCTCTGCCGCGTCGTTCGGTTAATGCCGAAGCAGGCCATCGTCACGATTCAGCAAGTCGGCGACACGGTACTGCAGACGGAGTGGCAGGGCGTCATTCGCTCTCAAGACGTGAGGGCGACGGAGAAGGATAAGGTCAAGATTTATGAAAGCTTCAAGCCCGGCGACGTGGTGCGGGCGCAAGTAGTGAGTGGCTTTTGCAAGACATCGAAATCTGACAGTGATGGGTAGCTGACTTGTGATATCAGATTTCTCTGGGAGACCAGGCAAACTACTATCTCTCCACCGCTGCCAATGAGCTGGGTGTCATCATGGCCACCAGCGAGGCTGGCAACGAGATGGTGCCAGTCAGTTGGAAGGAGTACAAGGACCCGGAAACGGGCATCGGAGAGCCGCGCAAGGTGGCCAAGCCAAACTGATGGGCGCGTTCCTTCATCCATTGGCCTGTCTTTTCACGATGTGCAGGCCGAGCCGTTGAGCGCTTTGTAGTTGGATACCCTCAGACGCTTGAGGTCGCAGAGTATTTTGCACCGCCTCGCTGACGAGGCTGATGGCTGATAGCTGTTCTTACGCACTCCTCGCTGGGCAGGGAAGTGCTCTCACGGCGTTTCGAAACGAGAGGGCCGGCATGACGACATGACAGCGGGCTTTTTGGGCAGTTTCAGACTGCTGAACCGAACCCGAGGGCCGACTTGGCTGGTGCACCAGCACAGCAAGCAAATAATTACGACGTTCTACCATCCTTCCTGGTAGCAGCAGTAACAGCTGCCGCCAGCGATGCATGATTTTTTGACGAGAGTTGAAAGCATGAGCTCCACTGCCAACCAACGATGCAATAGTCGTTTGGAGGGGTTGCATGGCCGGCAGGGTGCCCTTTGTGTGCGAAAACACTGCGACGACTCAGCACGGGACATGGCGAGGTCAAAGGACTGATTGATGGACAGTCCGATGTGGGAGCCTTATTCATGCAAGGGGACGATCAAGAGTTGTCAAAGGGAACGGATATTGGGTGCCAGAGACAAAGGACGAGCGAGGGGGCGGAAAGGGACAGGATGATGGGCCGCCGTCTACACTCGATAGTCGTCAAATATGACACCTACATGGTATGATGATTAGGATATCACTAATTCCCAAGCGTAACCTGTTGTTCCGTGCCCGTAGGGGCATGGACATGAACGGACATTCCGCAATTGGCATTAATTTAAACAATCAGTCAATTTGGACTAAGAGAAAGAAACATGACTTTGCTTAATCAAAACGGTTGCGGCCCGCACATAGAAAAGTATGTAAAAGAAATGGCAGCAAATTAAGGCCCAGGCAAAGGTCGTACGGAGTACAGCCGTTCCCGTCTCTCCCTGCCATCTCGGTTGACGAGGCTTTTCAACCGCAAGGAGAGTGCTGGAACAGAAAATGGGGTGGAGCAGTGACGGCCCCCATAGGTGACGCTCAAATTGGGTTTCCTCGCCCAATCGCCCGACGCCGTTTTTTAAGGACCCGCCCGTTTGGGACACTGAAGGACCCCGGTCCACGGTCGTTCCCCCCCAATCATCATTACCACCCGAATTCCCACGAAAGCAAGGAGGCGCAGTTACCGTTCGCGTCGTGGATTTATTCGTGGAAGGAGACGGCAGAGCGAAAGAAAAGGGTAGGTTGTGTGTTGTCACGTAAGTCTGGTGGCTAAGATGGCATGTGGGCGGGATTTCAGGCAGATGGGGGTTGTTTCCTATCATCTTCATTTACTTTTGCGAACCCATACCCTTCAGTTGTCTCTTCTTCCCTTCTCTTTGCTTTTATCTTCCTTTTTTTCTTTTTTTCTCTCGGTGAACATATCGATATTCAATATTCCCATTCGACTACCGTTACGGATTCACTTCACCGAACCTGCGACAAGACACCAACTGTACCTTGACTTTTTCTGCCTCCCCAAAGCGCCGCGCTGCTACGAATAAGAGTTCCAAACCACCTTTTTCGTACACTCTATTTTATTTCCAGACATAATAGCCCCGACATATGATCGTGCGCGCCCGCCCACCACTCACATCTCATCCCTCCCTCCTGACGAACCTTTGGCACCTCGACGTCACACCTTTCAAACTCTCTAGCCCCCCGCTGCGCTAAGGTAGCTTTTCCCTTCTTCACGCGGGGACTTTGCAACGCCTCGAGCACAACCTAAAAAGAAGCTTGATCTATACCCCCCGCCACCTCTTCCGTCTAAGTCGGTCGTTCGACCTGCCCTTCGCCTTTCCCACGGATCCCCACCGATAAAGGAGTGCGACTAAATTTCCGGTTCATCCTCATCGCCAAACCGAGAAAAACGTCTGAGCCAGGGACGATCAACAACACCACCACCACCCCGACGAATAAAAGCCATGAGTGCGACAATGACAATGACCGCCGCGCACCCGCCGCTAACGCCGCCGACCCTCTCCCTCTCAACCGATCGCTCAGAGCAACATTCCTGCCCCTCCTGCGGCGTCGTCCTCGAAGCGCCCCCCGCCCTTCTCGAAGCCCAGTCCCGCATCGCCGACCTCGAAGCTCAGGTCCGCCTCCTCAACCAAAAGGCCGCCGCCGCCGTCGACCGCTGGGCCGACTACGAAGACGAACTCACACGCCTGCGAGTCGCCGCATCCCACCGAACCTCCACCGCCGCCGCCTTGCCCGGTCTCTTACCCTCGCTGCCTCTCGCTCCCAGTCCCTCGCCCACCCGCACCAGCTTCCTGAGCGGCGGGGCGAACAGATTGTCACAGCTGCTCAGCCCGCGGGGCATGAAGTCCTCGCCGAACCTGCGCACGCCCTCGCCGCCGCCTGAAGGCCCCGCATCGACGGAGGATCTGCGGGAGGCGCTGGGAAGGGAGCAGAAGATGAGGATGGCGGCGGAGAGCAGGCTGAGCACGACGAGCCAGGAGGTGGAGGAGTTGAGCGTCAGTTTATTCGAACAGGCCAACGAAATGGTCGCGACGGAGCGGCGGGCGCGGGCGAAGCTCGAGGAGCGGGTCGAGACGCTGGAGAAGCGAGATAAGGATAAGCTGAGGCGGTTGGATCGGCTCGAGGGGGCCGTAGGGCGCATCGAAAGGGTGAGGTCGCTGCTGGGGGAGATGAATGCCAAGGATGAGGGCGTGAGGGAGGCGGCTGAGCAGAAGAGGGCTTCGCAGCCGTGAGCCGAGGGTGCTCGCGCGAGCTTCGGGGAATCTTGATGGAAGGGATGTACGATGCATCGCGGTGTGAATATCCGCGAAACATTTAATGACGAAACGACACGACTTGCATACTGGGCGGGAAGGGAAATCTTGGGTTAAATTTTACGAATCGTTATGGGAAGGAGAAAAAGAATCCTAGGAGGTAGAAGCAAAACCGATGTCCACCCACAGGAATCGAACCTGTGAGCTACAGTTGTAGGTAGCGCTGCACTTCAGGATTAGGGGTATAACCATCTTAAGCTTCTGGGCAGTAGTCCCAGTTTCGATGGATGGTAGAAATGGAAGCAGACCGATACTTGTACCTTTGGTACTGAATATGTTGATGAATACACCATCCAACCATCGGGTAGACTGTATATCAGGTCACGATCCAAGGCAAATCAAACGACATGAATGAGGTATTTTTGACTTTTAATCTCTCGTCTGCTCATATGTTTTATACGGGCAAGTGGCCAATCGAAATGAGCGAGTCTTGATACAGTGTCCAACTATCACCCTCTCGATCCGCAACGCTTTTCTGGGTCATGCTAAATGGAAGCCTCCGTACGCCGTGCCCTTTTCCCAGGCCGTAGCCTCACAAACTGAAAATGTCCCTCAACGAAGCCCTTGTGTCTCTGTGTACGTTTTGTCTCGTCTATACGACGCTCATGCTTTGGAAACTTTAGTCTTGAATACCTTCCCATACGTCATCAAACTTCTTTGTGTTAGCTGACTTCGCCTTGGGAGAAGTTTTGGGAGAACCTTTGGGTGACGCCTTGGGAGACGCCTTGGGAGACCTCTTGGGCGAAGACTCCTTGACATCACTAGCCTGCTCCGACTTGACCACCTTGGCGGCGGGCGCCTCGTCTCCCGAACTGGAGTTTCTCCTCTTCTTAGAAGCATTGTCATTCTTGTCGAAGCTCTTGTTCTCCCACTTGCGCTTCCTGTCATCCTTGCGGCCGTGGTTCTGCTGCTTCTGCTGGCCTTGGGCATTCTGTCTTTCGCGTTGCGACTGCGGCGCTCCGTTGGGGTACTTCTCGGTCCATTCAGACAACGCCTTCGTGACCTTGGGCCCCCAGACCTCCTCTCCCTTGAGAACGTCTTCGTACTCCAAGCAGCTATCGGTGCGGACCTCGAAGTCGCCCTGTCGGGATCGCTCAAGCTCAGCCATCATGCCCGCAGAGTCGACCTTGGCGCCCAGATCATGGCAGAAGCTGCGAACGTAGAATCCAGAGGTAACCTTCATGCGGATCCTGGCAGCAGGCGGGCCCTTGTCGGTCCAAGGGAAGGGCTCATCCGCAGACGGAGGTGGAGGAATAAGGTTGGAGCCTTTGCCGCCGGGGAGCTGTCCCAAGGCGCCAGACATCAGAGCCGGGTTCTTGGGCGGTTTTTGCTTCTTGGCAGGCTTATCGCGGATGAGACCATCCTGGCGCTCCTCAAACTTCTTCTTAACCGTCTCGTGCTCGGAGAGGGCTTTCTCTTCTTCCTTCTCCTCCTCGGGAGTAAGCCGGCGGCCAGAGGCACCTTGCTTCTCTACTCGCCAGACCTGCTCAGCGAGGTTCTTCTCGGCCGTTTCCGCCTCTTCGGTAGGCCATCTGTAGTTGTGCGTTCCAGGCTCGTACCACTCGACCATCTCGAGCTCGGTCACTTCAACATCGCGTCCCACGATTTCTCTAGGAATAGCCTTGCCCTCGCGAGCGTACTCGTACAGCGGCTTGCCCTCCATCTTGAGCGCGGAGTACAGAGGGGGGATCTGTTGGAACTTGCCCCGGAAGCTGTCCATCGCCTTTTCGACCTTCTCCTTCGTGATCTCATCGTATGGCCGTCTGCTCAATATTCTACCCACGCGGTCGTAGGTGTCTGTGCTAGCGCCAAATAGTACCACCGTCTCGTAGGTCTTGGTGCAGTCGAGGAATGAGCCGAGTGATTTGGTACCCGATCCGACACCCAAGATCAGCACGCCGGTCGCCAATGGGTCGAGTGTGCCTCCATGGCCCATCTTCACGCGAGAGTCTTTCTTAACGGCTCGTCGACGCTTCCACTCTTGCTTGGACTCTTGCATCTTAGCGGCAAGATCTCTCTCGATCAACGGCTTGAAGATAGCCGAGGGGTTCATCTGCTGCTGGCAATCGCGGATCACCTGCGCAGAGCTCATGCCGTACGGCTTGTTGATGGCTAAGTTGGGAAAACACGGTCAGCTGCTGTGTCGCATCGCTCGCCTTGGGGCGCCCAAAGTGCAACAAAGGGCAGCAAGGAGTCGACGCTTACCGAAGACGCCTTCGTATACGGTGTCTTTCGCCATCTTCCAGAGATTGGGCGTAATTCGCATTCGCCCGATGTAGAAGGATCTTGGGGGAGAAAAGAGAGGAAGAAACAATGCGGCCGGTGGGGGGAGGTGCGGCCTTCTCTTTAGCTTTTGCGCTTTCCGTGGATCTTGCGCTTCCCTGCATGCAGTTCTGGGAAATTTTTTAGGAAGGGACGTTCCAGCGATTCTTATCGTCTTATCTATTGGTCCAGGGATGACAGAGCCCCTGTTTGCTGGGTCCGTGGACTAGCAAGTCCCCTGCACCAGCGACGAGTCCCGCTACCTTTCTTCCCAGCTCCAGCGGGGGAGGGTGCCGTGGTAAACTGCCCCGCATCAGTCACTGTACTTTCTACCGTAGGCAGGCACAACGCTCCGCGCGCTCCAGCTTTCTTTAATGGATTCGAGGACCGCGTTCGCGTGCTTCCTTTCCCACCTACCCACCACACATCGTCGTTGTGGCTCGTCGCAACGTGCACCATCACCCCGCAACATCTTATTCTTTTTCCCTCGGGAGACGCTTTCCAAGCCTGATGAGCTTGCACCCAGCACACGTTTACGCCTCGTGCACCGAGAAATCTCGCCTTCATCACCTGGAACGATTGCGGATCTGAACACTACAATGGCTGGGCGCCGGCGACGAACGTCGGATTCGACGACTGGCACCGTCGAACCTGACAGAAGGGCTTACTCGAAAGAATTGAGTATTCTCAAGAGATTCGATCCCATGGAAGGAGATATGCTACAAACCTTTGTTCTCGAGGATGCTATGGTCTGCGATAAGAAGGGTAATCCAGTTGAGCTCTTCACCGTCAACACCCAGGGCCCATTCACTGTACGAGGTCGCGTCATCATCGATGGTCCGCAGACGGCAAGAGGTCTGGCCCATTTCCTGAATTCCCATTGCTTCCAATCGCTTACGTTACGCAGCCGTGAGACCTTCTACGAAATCAGCCTTGATCGAAACCCATGAATGCACTCGCTACGCTATTGGCGTTAGCAACAATGGCTACGGCGCATGGGCTGGGGGCGCGGCAGGATGGTACGAAATTCGACCGCCATCAGTCGCCTACAAGGCAATATTCGACCACACGATCGAAGGAGTTTCGGTCTACTATTCGATTCTAGACATCATCGAGGAGCACGCAGCAGCCAAGACCAACGAGAAGGGCTCCAAGAAGAAGAAGGGCAAGAAGGGCAAGGAGACAGACGTGACGACGAACGCTTCCGCAGCAATGACCATTGAGACATTGTTATTCAAGGTGCGCTTAGTGCTGAGAGAAACCTGGCAATCTAAGCTGACGCAGGCGACAGTATGCAGTAGCCATGGGCGATGGTGCTACCCTCGACGAGGTGGAACAGCGCTGCGACGATCATGCATCTTTCCTCATATCCCATTTCTATGAAGAGCCAGAATTCGACTGGGTGCCTACGCTATTTTTCAAATGGATGACGGAACGACACCCAGTATGTGGTAGCTCCATTTCGGTGGCAAGGGATCCAACTAATTATCCTAGGACATTCATAAGAAAGTCCTTGAAATAAGGGCGAAAAAATTAGCGGGAGTCAAGCCTAGTCTACTGATACCAGAGGAGACTGAAGCTGTGGTGACGCCAACTCTCTCCGACGAGCCGCCCGCGCAGAAGGCGTTGTCGAAACGAAAGCAAAGGGGCACATCTGGTGGCGATAGCCAAACCGATTCGCACGACTTTGCTCTCTCTGCACGCGACATGAGATCCAGATCAAGGGGCAAGACCAAAACGCAGTCGCCTCCCGTCCCTGAACCTCTGGCGGAAGCCATGGCAGTGGACGAGACTCCAGAGGTTCCACACCAGACGGAACTTGTTAAAACGGCCCATGATCGATCCAACGTGGACGCCCTCCTGGAAGCCATCGATGACATCAAACTCGAAGTCGAGCCGTTGAGCAAAGCAGCGTTCTCCAAAGTGTCATCAAAATTATACTATAAGTACAAGGTCAAAGCCTACCTGGGAGCAGCGGACATTCTCAAGTACTATGCAAAAGAGCTGGTTGAACGCCTGGATCAGGATGAGTGGAGAGGATCTGGTTTTTGGAAGACCCTCGAGGAATCTGCTCAAGCCCCTCGTATCTCTCTTTCCCACGTTGAGCTTGAGCAAATCCCTGACTGTCTAATTCGACGAAAGGCGAAGGAGGTATCAATCCCACGGAACCATCGGCCATCACTTCCTCAAGAGGCTCAAAGGAGCACAGACGTCGCGACTCCTCCTCCAAGACGTGTTGGTCGACCAGCCGGAAAGATGTCAGGCCTTCGACTCGCGGGCACCGGTGGTAAGCGACGTTTTGACTCCGGGGACGATACTCCGGAAAGCATCTCCCGGCAGATTGCAAAGAGATTCCATGCTGGTGATGATTCTGACGAGGATGAAGTCATGAATGATGGCAGCAGCTCCGAAGATGATGGTTCTAGTGTGGACTCTGCAGAATCGCCTACCGCCCTGAAGGTCGTTGTGCGAGCAGAGAACATTCCCACAACAATACCCAAAGGACCTAATGGCACTTGGGTCTGTGAAGAAGACGATTGCGGGTTTGTCGAGCGAAATCCAGAATTGGAAGATGGCCGTTTGAGAATCAACGAACACTTGCAAGATGCACATTATCACGAAGACGAGAACCAGGTTCAACGCATCAACTTGGCAGTGACGGAGAGTGACAAGAACCACCTCCCCATAGAGTATGCCTCCCCACCCTCATCTCCAGAATTTAGATATACTTGTGTTTCAGACGAGCCACCAGAGATTTCTCCTTTTTGGGACGCAAATCCGAGTGGATCTGTTTCGGACGGAGACGGAAAACGGTCCTCGCTGCAGGCCGAATTTCATGTGGACAAAGCAGACAAGAAGGACATTTTGTCAAGCACTCTGATTGGAATATTTTGATTTTGTAGCCTATTCAGTCGTCCTCCGAGATGAGATTTGCTAACATGATTCTAGTCACCTGCTCGAGAAGATCCGCCAAATGGGCCACAAGATACAAGGGACGGAAGGATTGAAGATTGATGAGACAGTCATGCCTCAGCCTATCAAGAGAAGATTGCTCACTTGAAAGGGCACCTGCATGTTGCTTCGATGCAAATAGGTGTTACTTGCGGCGAGGGAAGGTCTAAGGACAGAAACACAATTGGCTTGCTTGCATAGACTTGGCGTTCAAGGGGAGGGGTTAAGAGACATATCAAGCATGGCATACGCTGATGGCGTTGGTTAGAGAGTTACACAGATTGGCTCATGACGACGTGTTTTATTCCCAGAATCGAGGGTTTGGCTCCGGACGGCTGGTTTGGGAGACACTTGAGTAAGAATCAAACAGATTTAATACATAAAGCAGAAGAGCTGCTTAGCATACAAGTACTCTTGTGGACCACCAAAGTAAACAAGGGAATTTGAGTTATGGCTCAACATTCATCACAAATCACCCGCGTAATGGAACAGTTGTACGTCGTATACATACCCCTGACATGAATGTGTTATAGGTAAAGTCTGCTTCCATTCGTCTGATATAGAACAGCTAACCTACTGCTTTATGAAAATTGTAATGCAAACTTAATCATTGTCTGGATCCAGCTTCGAGCCCTGCCGCACACTCCAAGCCCCCGAGGCTATACACGGACTGACAAATGTCTCATATTCCACCGCGGGGGTGCATACTGCTCTCATGGGGGTAACAGCTCGGCGTGCCTCGTACTGACCAGTCCCTTCGTCTGCTTTTGATTCTCCAACGCCACGCTATAAGGCCAGACATCTTCAGCCCTAAAACCGCCTCTGGTCCAGGTACTTGCTCGCTGTTGACCATACAGCCTTGTCAGCCGCCGAAACCTCCTTGTTGAGCGTCTGTACGCCCTTGTGGATGGCATCGAAAAAGGCAAACGCAAGTTGAATGTCCTCCTTGAAGTTGGTAGCGTAAGGGAAGAACCTTATGGGGAAGTCCTGCATTACACTCTGTTGCTTCTCGACGTCACCAGCGGGAAGCTCGTCCATGAGTGTTTTGACCGCAATGCCCAGAGCGATATCAGGGTTGTGGAGGAAGGGCAAACTATGAAAGATTGATCAGTGGCTGGCTTGATTCGGGGGAAAGAAAGTAACTTACGTCTGGCTAATTTGCAGGTAATCGTCGCGGTCTCTCTTTGACTGTGCGTACAGGAACATGGACGCCACGATTGCCTCAACGAGGTCGCGATCCGCCTCCCGCACAGCAGTCGAAAGTGACCGGAAGAGGAGAAGATTCTTGTTGAGCGGTCCGGTGTATCCGTTAGACTCGTGTCGAAGTTTCAATAGGGAGGCACATCTGCTGATGAGAAGAATGCTCGCCTTGTCTTCGTCACTACCGGTCATTGGCGCTCCATTCAGCTCCTCGTGTCGATGACCCGAGTTGAGCACATCGTGTCTGATGAGCTCGAATGCATTCAAGATGGCCTCGAATATGTTGAGGCCATCAGGAACCTGCAAATCTTTGAGCGAGTCCTTCATCGCCCATATTGCGCTGGCAACGGCGTTACCCCAGTTCGTCAATGTGTGCGAATCGTCGACGTAGCCGCGGAGATGGAGGAATCTCCAGATGGCAACAGCCGTGATATTCTGAACAGAATCAATGCCTCCAATACGCTTCTTCTCTTTGGGGAAGGTGCCTTTGACGAAATCATCGAACAAGAGCGCCAAGATCTCGAAAGCGATAGATCCAGGGGGATCATCGACGCCGTCAGCGACAGCCTTGAAGGAGCTTTCCTTCACGTCCCATGTGGCGGCACGCTGAGATGGTGATGGCTGAAGAGACTTGTTGATCTTATACGAGAAGTTGTCGTCGAACCAAACCTTCATGGTGATGGCGTTGTGCTGGAGACCGCGGTGAAGTCTGGGAATCAGAAGCGCGATGCTCTGCTCCTTGAGAGGGACAAGTTGGCTTGTAACCAGTTTTCTATACTGTTCTGAAGCAACACCGTCCAGTGTAGGCGTAACGACGATTCGGCTATGTGTTATATAGTCGAGAACGCGAGAGCCAATGAGACCAGTGTTGAGGTAGTGGAACAACTCTCCGGGAAGCTGAAGGCCAAGATACTCGTGGTTGTCACTTGTGATGTGGTCGAAATCGTTGACTTTGATCTCGCCTTCTTCGGAAATATAGATGAAGTGGTTGACGGCCATCTTCGCTTGTCTGTACTTGTCCAACCACTTGGGATCCTTGGACTTCAGAATATCGCCGTAGGAGCTGCAAGCTGATTGAACAGATTTTTCCGACGCTCTGAGAAGGTTGACAGCATCGTTGATAGTAGGAGGCTGGCGTGGGTTGAGTGTAGTGTCCAGGAGTGGTGGGAAGGGCGGTAGGAAGGAGGTTCCGGTCATGAGGAGAGCGTCGCTCAACATGCCTAACATGCCTTCGCTAATGTTCAGTGACCGCGCAAGGTTCTTCTTGGATACCGATGTGACAGTCTTTGCCTCCCAATCTATCGTGCGAATCAAGGTGTCCTTGATAGGGTACAGGATCAGCTCCTGTGAGCCCATTACGGCGGCGCATTGGTCCGAGTCGATCATGTCGAAGTGGGCGAGCTAATAACTCATCAGCATCGAAACGTTCAGCCTGTCCAAGCTCGAACCTACCTGAGCGGAGGCATTGTAGGGGGGCACAAGGAAGTGCAGATCGTTGTCCTTCAGGATAGACTTCAGCAAGGGGTAGAGGTTCTGGATGCGAAAAGCGCCTGCAGTCTCATGGTCAGTGTGGCTCGTCGACGTTACGACGATAATGCGTACCGCTGTTGGCACCGAACGCGTCGACAGCTTTCTGTGCTTCGCTGTTGAAATATAGGTTCCAAGCTTCGTCCGTCTTCTGGTTGGCAATTCGGCCTCGCTGAACGGCGACCTCCTCTTGACCAGTCACAGACTGCCCGTCAAAGATGAAGAAGGGTACGATCTTGTGGGCCTTCCACTGGTCGATATCGGCTCGGAGATGGTGCTCGATGCCAGTCATGCCACCAAGAGCGGGCAGGAGGGGTTCGTGGAAAGGAGGGGTGTCGAGGAAGAGCTGAAGGTAGTATGTTGCATCAATGGCTATCGCGCAGTCCTCGAGCTCGGAGACATCGTGACTCCTATCCAAATGATTTAGTAACAGGAACCTCGACACTATGAACATGTTTGACTTACGTTGCCTGGCCATTGATCCAAGCGTCCTCCACAAGGCCTGTCATATCGAGTCAGTAAGTCTCATGGTACAAATCGCAGAGCGTGATGCGGCTGTAGTGAAGCGCAAGAGCGAGAAGAAGCTGAGATGCCCGGCCGGAGTCGTCTTGCCCACTGTTCCTTCCTGATGTAGTGAAGCGTAATGTCTCAAGAAAGTCGAAGTAGATTTTTTCGATATGCGTAGCTCGAAAGGTTCGATGCCAATGCTCAGGCAGAGTCTTGATGCTTCTCGACAGGCGAAGCTCCAGTTTGTGGGTGAGTATAGAGCTTCAGGGCAGGTACGGCGGAATCGGACGTTTTCCAGCGCAGGAAGCGGGTTATGACGCAGATAGCCTTGGAGACATGTGACGGCAAGGTGAGGACCCGGAACAAGGAGTTCGTAGAGCAGAGAAGAGGCCAGCGCATCGCGGAGTTGAGAATTCGGGGGAGGCGGGTTCGGGGAGGGAGACTCACAAGGCATCTTGTCGGGCCTTGCGCAACGGCGAGGAGCTCGTCAGCTCGAGTTGACAACAAGCCGTTTGGAGGTGGGAAGCGGGTGGAGCTTTGGTCGCGAGACCACTCAGGGGAGCGGGAGCAAAGAGACTGGGCGCTTTGTCGAAGAAGAAGTTCGAATGACTTCCAAAGGAATGACTGAGCTTGTCATGAAAAAGGGAACGGCCGTCTGCAGGGCCAATGACACTGACAAGCGTGTCTCAAAGAAGAGGGGAGCTTTGGAAAAGAACGCTGGCGGAGGGGAGGTAATTGGGAAAGTTTGGGGGTTCAGGAACGCAGGTGCGATGTACCGTACCGCTGTACAGGGGGAGCAAGTTGGCAACCTACCCTTAGGTGGGTTTCGAGGCGCTAGGGAGGTTGTAGGGTTAGCGTGTGTGAGAGATGGAAGGACCATCCGTATATGTGGCGGTGCATGTGGCTTGCAGCTTCCCGTCAATGACAGCCTCCCGTGCCTCCCTAACCTGGGTTCCTCCCACTGGCCCCGTCCCACGATGTTTCCATTGTATCCCCACTCACTTGGAAGGCGCTGGCTCTCCTTCTTTCTAAGTGCCCTCTCCTTTCCTTCAGGTCGTACATTTGGACACCTGAGGATGTTGTCTACGTGAACAAAGAGAGTGCAGCTACCTTAAACGCACAGGTTCGACAAAACGGACGTCCCAACTCTCTCCAATATCAATCAAACATCTCCTACCAACAACATGTTACTAGTCCCAGTTCCCGTCAACACGAGCCATCGCTCAAGCCACAGGCAGCATCAATTGACCGGCCTTGCAGCGCGTCCCGTTCCCGCTGCCCCGATCCCCGCTCTTTATATTCGCCTGTCCTCTGTGTCAGGGATGTGCGATGCAGCCATGTCTTGATCCCCTCTCCTTCGCCGGCCCCTTGCATGTCTGCCCCCCGACAAACATCTTCAAATGACCTTCTCCGGGAGCACAGCAAGCGTTCAGGTTACAGCTGCATTGGAAGCGCCGTTGCGTCCTTCCATAATTTTCGCACACTCGCCACTATGCGACCAGGGAGTCCCCCAAGCTTGAGCCTCCAATGAACATTGTCATTTTTTCACCTCCCAAATATCCGCTCCATGGCGTCTCCATATCTCGAGAATCTGCAGTTGAACACTCACATGGGATGTTCGCGATCTAGCATTTCTCCTACCAGCTTTCATTTCTCTGCTTTTCATCCCAGCGCACGTGGCCAAGAATCCTGTCATACCAAGAGCACATGATGGCGCAAGCGCGACTATACGGCCTGAACGCTGCTGCTCAATCGACAACCGGCCCCCGATGCTTGCGGAGGTTTCTTTGATCAGAGCAACACTGACATCAAGACTACGAGCGGACGGCTGTTTCCAGTTCATCCATCCATTGTAAGCTTGGACTACATGTCATTCGCTTTCTCGGCCTAGTCTGACCGTTGGATTTCGTGGCGTTGAGGAACGTTTGCTAGCTGGCAAGCTCTTGTCAATCTCGAACTTCACTACTTGAATATTACCTTCTCCATTCCAATATCCGAACATCCATTGGACCCCTCAGTCACACACGCGAGAAGTGTAACACGACACCTCAAGACCCGTCGACCTCTCGTGAAACAAAATCTTACCAAGGATATCCCGCTGCCTCGGCCCTCTCCGGCCTTCCGTTCACTATCAAACGCTTCGTAATAGTCATTACCCAAGTCGTTGCCCCGGCCCCAAGCGGTCCCGTCCGCCCCTCCATCATCCCAGTCTTATCGCTTATCGCATCCCACTTCGCGCGACTTCGGTTGAATCTCGCCCCTCCAGCCCTCCATTCTCATAAGCCAGCTCCGGCCGCTTCCCGTTCTACTTTGTCTTACCTACCGAACAGTAATTTACAAAGAGACCAGGTCACTTCATCATGGCGCCCAAGGCTAACATCCCAATCATTGACATTGCCGCTGAGGGTGTCGACAGGACCGCCGTCGCGCGCCAGCTTGTCGATGCCGCTGTTGAGCATGGCTTCATTTACATCCGTAACACTGGCAAGTATATTACGCTAAGCGATCAAGACTCGGCTTTCGATTTGGTATGATTCAATTTGTGATGCAATTCCCGTGCAGTGAAATAGCTCGACTGACGCCAATAAATAGTCCAAAAAGCTGTTCAAGGCACCTGTCGAGGAGAAGGCCGCCTGTACAATCCAGAAGAACAACCGTGGCTGGTCTGGCATGCACTCTGAGACTCTCGACCCCAAGAACCAAAAGGTATCCCCGATTCTGTCCCAAACTGACTATTCGAAATTTTGACTTTTTTGATAGGTTGGCGATTATAAGGAGTAAGGTTACTTGGTTCCTGAGCCTCTTGGCATCTTGACTTACACACCACCTAGGGCTTTCAACTTTGGCGAGTTCA